AGGCAGACCCCAAGACTGTCTGCACAGTGTTGGCCCTCTGCAATGGTGCCAGCCGTGCATATGTCCGTAAGTTCTCAGTCTTCAAAGCACGCTGAATGCAATTGTCTTGTTTCGGACAGCGGAGATCGATTTCGAGGTGTTGCGCAAATGTCATATTAGAGGTGTTAATTTTGATTCTTTTTGATACTGACACTGGTACAAGAACAAGATTAGACAGGAAATGATTGTTTGCTGTAAAACTATGTAGAGATGTTTGATTCAAACTGCAGAAAGCTCTGCTTTCTATGTTTACTATGTAAAAAATATAAACTATTGTCTCATTTGAGACACTTTAATGCCCAAATCTTGCAACATCATTGCAGCTTTTAACTGTAATCAGGGTTGTGTCTTAGTGTTTTCAACATATAAACATTCCACTTTTCTTTTTCTCTTTTGTCCGGTGCTGTAAAATGTCAGCTGTTTATTTTCAGTGTCAAGTTGGCCTCATACAATGCAGGCTACGTTGTGTGATCTCTAAAATAATTGCTTCCGTTAGGTGTGTGATCTTATTCTATTTGACTCTGTGAAGCCAAAGGTGTATTTCCACATGTAGGTAATTTCTGTTCCAATTCTTTCCAGCTGCACTCGACCAGACTCAATTTAAGGCTGGTAGCTACTGCAAGGTCTGCAAGATGGTTGTTGGATACATCGATGGCATTCTGGAGAAGAATGCTACAGAGGTGCAGATTGAGGAGGCTGTGAGGAAAGTGTGCAGCTTCCTGCCTGACTCTTACCAGACCGAGGTGAGTGGTTGCATCTTCTTACCGTGTGTAACTTTTACCTTATGTCTGTGTGTGACAGCCTTGCATTAACTGCGGTGTGTCTGCCAACAGTGTGACCAGCTGATTGAACAGTACGAGCCAGTGCTTGTCCAGCTGCTGCTCCAGATGCTCGACCCAGACTTTGTGTGCATGGTAAGATGGATTAATTCACATACAGTGGGTATGGAAAGTATTCAGACCCCTTTAAATTTTTCACTCTTTGTTTCATTGCAGCCATTTTCCAAAAATCAAAAAAGTTCATTTTATTTCTCAGTAATGTACACTCAGCACCCCATCTTGACAGAAAAAAACAGAAATGTAGAAATTTTTGCAAATTTATTAAAAAAGAAAAACTGAAATATCACATGGTCATAAGTATTCAGACCCTTTGCCGTGACACTCATATTTAACTCAGGTGCTGTCTATTTCTTCTGATCATCCTTGAGATGGTTCTACACCTTCATTTGAGTCCAGCTGTGTTTGATTATACTGATTGGACTTGATTAGGAAAGCCACACACCTGTCTATATAAGACCTTACAGCTCACAGTGCATGTCAGAGCAAATGAGAATCATGAGGTCAAAGGAACTGCCTGAACAGCTCAGACACAGAATTGTGGCAAGGCATAGATCTGGCCAAGGTTACAAAAAAAATTCTGCTGCACTTAAGGTTCCTAAGAGCACAGTGGCCTCCATAATCCTCAAATGGAAGACGTTTGGGACGACCAGAACCCTTCCTAGAGCTGGCCGTCCGGCCAAACTGAGCTATCGGGGGAGAAGAGCCTTGGTGAGAGAGGTAAAGAAGAACCCAAAGGTCACTGTGGCTGAGCTCCAGAGATGCAGTCGGGAGATGGGAGAAAGTTGTAGTAAGTCAACCATCACTGCAGCAATCCACCAGTCGGGGCTTTATGGCAGAGTGGCCCGACGGAAGCCTCTCCTCAGTGCAAGACACATGAAAGCCCGCATGGAGTTTGCTAAAAAACACCTGAAGGACTCCAAGATGGTGATAAATAAGATCCTCTGGTCTGATGAGACCAAGATGGAACTTTTTGGCCTTAATTCTAAGCGGTATGTGTGAGAAAACCAGGCACTGCTCATCACCTGTCCAATACAGTCTCAACAGTGAAGCACGGTGGTGGCAGCATCATGCTGTGGGGGTGTTTTTCAGCTGCAGGGACAGGACGACTGGTTGCAATCGAGGGAAAGATGAATGCGGCCAAGTACAGGGATATCCTGGACGAAAACCTTTTCCAGAGTGCTCTGGACCTCAGACTGGGCCGAAGGTTTACCTTCCAACAAGACAATGACCCTAAGCACACCGCTAAAATAAGGAGTGGCTTCACAACAACTCCGTGGCTGTTCTTGAATGGCCCAGCCAGAGCCCTGACTTAAACCCAATTGAGCATCTCTGGAGAGACCTGAAAATGGCTGTCCACCAACGTTTACCATCCAACCTGACAGAACTGGAGAGGATCTGCAAGGAGGAATGGCAGAGGATACCCAAATCCAGATGTGAAAAACTTGTTGCATCTTTCCCAAAACGACTCATGGCTGTATTAGATCAAAAGGGTGCTTCTACTAAATACTGAGCAAAGGGTCTGAATACTTATGACCATGTGATATTTCAGTTTTTCTTTTTTAATAAATTTGCTAAAATTTCTACATTTCTGTTTTTTTCTGTCAAGATGGGGTGCTGAGTGTACATTACTGAGAAATAAAATGAACTTTTTTGATTTTTGGAAAATGGCTGCAATGAAACAAAGAGTGAAAAATTTAAAGGGGTCTGAATACTTTCCGTACCCACTGTATCTTCAGTTAGGAAGTTGTGACTGGTATTTACTCACTTAACTGTAAAATTCCTGACTTTACCGTCAACTCAATAAATTTTTGTGTTCATATATTGTTGGTAATGAACTGTAAATGGGATATTTAGCTTGCACTAGAGACCTGCTGCCCAGTTTAGTATCTGAGATGTGTTTGTGTGTGTGTAACAGAAAATGGGTGCCTGCCCTGAAGCTCTGCGCAGGCTGCTGGGAACAGAGCAGTGCAGCTGGGGACCTGCATTCTGGTGCAAGAACATGGAGACAGCAACTCGGTGCAATGTGAGTAGTTAATTCAGGTTTCGACCCAAATGTGTCCCCAAATGTAATTAAACTGTTTTTTTTGGATCACAAATGATTGTTTAAAACCAATAGTGCTGTCTGACCACTTGTTTCTGTCTTTTTAGGCTGTGGCTCACTGCAAACGCCATGTGTGGGTATAGAAGAGGAAGACCAGCACAAACTGACCTGTAGGGAATTAAAAGAAATACTGTAGTGCTGCTTCCCACTGTTCAATTTTGTCCTGTTTTTTTCTTTTTTTTAATGGACTTAAAATGAGTGGAAATTTTTGTTTAAATTAATTTGAATGATTTTGGGAGGGGGGGTGCATACTTGTATAGTGGCCTGCAGCTCAGCCTTTCAGTGCTTCACTGTCGGGCTTTAAGGTTTTGCATCATTTGGGCTATGCTTGCAGTGTAGTATATGTTGGAACACAAATTCAAGTTTAACTTGTTGTATAATGTGGACACAGCATCGGATGTTCTGATGAGTCTGATTCCTTCCCCCTGGAAGAACCGATTGCAAGCAGGAGGGACAGCGGTGTGTGTAAAGAATGACTGGCATTACTTTTAGCAGTTGTCTAATCCTTAAAACAAATTTATATTTTGTAGAAAGAAAATGTTTGTGTTCTTGTTCCAAGGAGCTGATATATAGAGGTAATTATTTTGCAAGTGTACCTCCTACGCAACTTCCTTGTTTGCACTCGTTTGTGAATCACTGCGTTCCTAACGTACAGAAAGCATCTCAAATTCGATGTGGTCTACTTCAAACCGTGAGCGATCTGTTGGTTGATCTTTGCATTTTTAACAATTAAAGTGATCCCAATCCACTTCTGTTTTATTTCCTTTGATGTAAATTGAATTTAGCTCAGTATGATAAAGCTGTACAATTTTGGACAACATCAGCAGCCTCTATACTTCAAATAATTTGCAGACAAAGGCTTAAAGATTGAAGTTTTTTTTTTCTTTTTTACATTAGATATTTACATGGTAACAGTGGAAAAGTTCTGTCGAGTACAACTGACTGACAAAGTTGTTACTGGAAATGCTACTTTTTATAACGTCGATAGTTGACTTCACTTACAAAGTTATCAGATGGCAGACACACAACTACATGTTCATCAACAACAGTTAGCCAAGTTTTTCCAGCTGTATCCGTCAGTAAGATGTAGTACTGCTTTGCCATCTGCAAAAGCTGAATAACATCCCCCTGCATAACAACTTACTATATTCCACACATCCATTGAACTAGCAACCCAAGTCATGGCAGACACATGGTCATCTCTCATCTCCATGCCGGTGACTCTCAAATGACTATTTCTAGAGGAAGCTTAAGACGGCAAAATTCCCATGCCATGTTCTTTTCAGCTTTTACATAGGAGCAGTAGAAAGCATCCTGACTGAAAACATCAGTAACTGGCATGGGATGTGCAAGGCCCAGGACCAGAGGACTCTCCAGCCTGTGATTAATCAGAATCCGTTTTATTGCCAGGTTTGTGTACGCATACGAGGAATTTGACTCAGGATTGTACATTGCTCACGCCCAAAACCGCTCAGAAGATCAGTGGTACCCATCTCTCCGGGTCGAGGTGCCTACTCAGAGCCCAAAGGATACTAAAGGACAGCACCCACCCAGCCACAGGCTTTTCACCCTGCTGCCTTCCGGGAAGAGATACAAAAGTGTGGTCTAGTGCCTAGAAAGTATATGGCTATTACTCCCCACAGATTTTGCTTTTCTGAGTAGGACAGTGATATTTTGAAATGTACCTATTAACTAACAGGCAAATTTTAAACCCAGGTTCATTTCCCACTGCGACACATCCACCCATTGTGTCCCTGAGCATGACACTTCAGCCCTAGTTGCTCCAAATGCCTCTGACATATATACAGCAATTGTAAGTCGCTTTGGATAAAAGCCTCAGCTAAATGAGTTAATGTAACATACCTTATCTACACAGATTTGTGAACAATATTTGAGAGAAGTAGGCCTTTTGTGTACATAGAGAAAGTCTTAGATATTTGAGTTCAGCTCATGATGAATGGGGGCAAAAATGAAAGTGTTGTGTTTATAATTTTGTTCAGTGTATTTCAAGGACCAATTTGATGTGCATTGGTGGCATCATCACCTTCTGGGGGGCCACCAGCCTCAAAGCTGTGCTGCTCCATAATGGTAACAAGTACCCGTCTCTTCCCCTGGCTCACACTGTGCACCTCAAAGAGCAATTCAACAGCATCAAGACTTTGCTGGATGCCTTGAAGTATGATGAGTACAGCTGGGAGGTCATAGGCTTAAAAATGGTGAATCCTGATGGGTCTCTAAGGCGGACCGATGCACACTACCACAGGTGGGACTGGCCACAGCGGACTGAGTTGTGTGTGGGGAGGAACAGCATCATGTGGGAGCCACTGGTGGACCCCCGGAAGGTGCTGATGCCACCACTACACATCAAATTGGGCCTTATGAAACAATTTGTCAGAGCTCTAGATAAGGAGTCGGCAGCCTTTAAGTACCTTCCGCCCGTTTTGTCATTGATAAGATGTAAATTTCTAAATGTCACTGTCCTGGTCACAGTAGCAAAATTTGTGGGGATAAAATAGGAGCTATTTTTATACTTTAGAGTCATACAGTAAGCAAATAGGATATGACTAACTGCCAGAGAAAAGCAAGGTAAGCAGATTCAAGTTGTGAGTAAACACTAAAATAAGGTGGATAATGATGTAGAATTAAAATGGTGAAATAAGAAATATTATACAAGAAATAGAAATACACTGCTTCTACCCCCACCGCCTAACTCCTACCCCTTCCTCGTCATTCAGTGTGCAACACTGCACAATCCTTAACTCAAACAAAAACAACTGTGTAGGAGCAATAAAACTAGGAGAGTCTCAGCTAACAGGTTGAGGCTGCCGAAGACAATTGTAAAACGTTATACCATGGTAAGACTGAGCAGCATAGCAACAACTGAACTGAATTGGACATTATGGCTTTGATGGCTCCTAGTGTGATCAATAAAATAATCTTATTTTTGTACCATTTCTCCACTTTGACAAGACGTATTGAACCTGCCTCCTAAAAAGTAGGTTTATCATTAGATTGTCATAATGCTGTCTTCGAGGCCAGGTCAACCTTCAAACAGAAGTTGCACATTTAAAATGCACAAACAAATTCACTAGAACAGGTATGCTTATTACAATTTAAACCCACTATGTAGGATTTGAACATGTGTAACTTTGGCACCATCTGGTGGTATTGTGGAGAATGCCACTGTGGCAGATAATGCACACTGCTAACTCTCTCTCTCTGTAATCTATAGTATTCGGATGAAAGTAAATTTTACAGGACAAGGGAAGACGTTATCATCATCTACATTTGTAAAATGAAATACATGTTTGATAGGTATCTTAATGGGAGCCAGAATATACACTGCTAAAGAACAATAAGGGAATACCTATTCATCACAGTATAACATCTTGTCAAACTTCAGGGATATCAGTCTGTCCAGTTAGGAAGCACAAGTGATTCTGAATCACTGTCACCTGTTGTGGTGAAATGAAAGTGTCAACAGGTGCGCTGTAGAGGCAACAGCAAGACAACCCCCAAAAAGGGAATGGTTGTGCAGTTGTGTAGGTGGTTGACACAGACAATCCTTATCCTTCCTGAGTGATTGTTCTATAGTTTTGTATTTTGCTAGTGTCCTTGTCACTGTGGCAGTAACTGCAGCCCATTCAGGTTGCCCAGGGTTAGTCCAGCTCCTCCAGGATGGCACATCCATAACATGTGTCTGTTGTGAAGCCATAGTCTGGAGAGGTCTCTGAGCTGTAGCTGGTAGAGATCAATCCAGCTGCCTGGATCCTGTGATGCTGCAGTGCAAGGAGTCACATTTAATCCTGGGAATTATCATTCCCATTCAGGGCATATTGACAGGTGTTTTCCAAATGTATCCCTTTATAGATACACATGTAAGATAAAGCTGTTAATGTTCAACACAAAACAGTGAACATGACAAACTGCTACCTCTGTATGGACAGAAAGACACACAATTAAATAATGACTCATCATCATGATGAATCAGATGGTGTGGAATGTAGCATGGACACACTTTTCATGCTGTGCCATCACTGCAAAGATTGACACTTTAGTTCCAGTTGGAACAACACAGCGAAGGACCACATAGAGATTCTCTCCTGCTTTTTGACATGAACTGAGCACACAGTACCATCATAGTTAAAGTATGCTTGGATCTTGTGACTTAGTTTGGCTGTTCTTTCTTTAACAATGTGGCTGATCTTGTTGATTGAGTCCAAGGTGTAGAAGGAAACATTTTTTGTTAGTATGGGTGTGTGTATTTACTTTTTCTTTTTGTATCAGAAACATGTGCATATTGCATGGGTGGCAATGCTGTGGAACGGTATGCACATTACAATCTCATGCAATGGGGCAGGTTGTAAACCATTTGACTGTGTATCCTAAAGTAATGTTGTCTGTTTCTGTTTTCTGTGACCCAAGGACATCTGTGTCCGCGCTGGCTTCTGTACTGAGATGAAGAAGTCTGTTCCCATGCTGAACCTGCAGGCTTTTAAGAGTGTTAGTGTACCTGCTGTCAAGACTGTACCTGCCACCAACAGGGAGCCTGCCACTGACAAGTCAAGGTAAGTCATTGTGGGCACCCAGTTGTGTGTCATCCGTACATGTTATTGATACATGATACAAAATCTATTTGATAGCACAGTACTGTACATGCACGTGAGACCTTGCCTCTTTGTGTTCCAGCCCATGGTGCGTGTCCGTGATTCCCCAACGTGTACCATCTGTGAGTTTGTGATGAAACAGTTGGAGTCTATGTTGGAGTCTATGTTGGAGGATCACACAACAGAGGTGGGATGTGTACTACTAGATGGAGCCAATATGGCCATGAAGAGAAACTTACGGTTGGTGCAGTTAGACTCTGTTTTCAAGCTGATCCATCTGTCTTTGTCTCAGGAGGAGGTGATCCAAGCTGTGGAGAAGGTGTGCACACTTCTGCCCTCCACTCTGAGTGGCCAGTGTAAGGACCTGATTGAGACCTACGGCGAGGCCATCATTCAGCTGCTGGTGCAACAGGCAGACCCCAAGACTGTCTGCACAGTGTTGGCCCTCTGCAATGGTGCCAGCCGTGCATATGTCCGTAAGTTCTCAGTCTTCAAAGCACGCTGAATGCAATTGTCTTGTTTCGGACAGCGGAGATCGATTTCGAGGAGTTGCGCAAATGTCATATTAGAGGTGTTAATTTTGATTCTTTTTGATACTGACACTGGTACAAGAACAAGATTAGACAGGAAATGATTGTTTGCTGTAAAACTATGTAGAGATGTTTGATTCAAACTGCAGAAAGCTCTGCTTTCTATGTTTACTATGTAAAAAATATAAACTATTGTCTCATTTGAGACACTTTAACGCCCAAATCTTGCAACATCATTGCAGCTTTTAACTGTAATCAGGGTTGTGTCTTAGTGTTTTCAACATATAAACATTCCACTTTTCTTTTTCTCTTTTGTCCGGTGCTGTAAAATGTCAGCTGTTTATTTTCAGTGTCAAGTTGGCCTCATACAATGCAGGCTACAGTGTGTGATCTCTAAAATAATTGCTTCCGTTAGGTGTGTGATCTTATTCTATTTGACTCTGTGAAGCCAAAGGTGTATTTCCACATGTAGGTAATTTCTGTTCCAATTCTTTCCAGCTGCACTCGACCAGACTCAATTTAAGGCTGGTAGCTACTGCAAGGTCTGCAAGATGGTTGTTGGATACATCGATGGCATTCTGGAGAAGAATGCTACAGAGGTGCAGATTGAGGAGGCTGTGAGGAAAGTGTGCAGCTTCCTGCCTGACTCTTACCAGACCGAGGTGAGTGGTTGAATCTTCTTACCGTGTGTAACTTTTACCTTATGTCTGTGTGTGACAGCCTTGCATTAACTGCGGTGTGTCTGCCAACAGTGTGACCAGCTGATTGAACAGTACGAGCCAGTGCTTGTCCAGCTGCTGCTCCAGATGCTCGACCCAGACTTTGTGTGCATGGTAAGATGGATTAATTCACTTTTATCTTCACTGTTAGGAAGTTGTGACTGGTATTTACTCACACAATAAATTTTTGTATTCATATATTGTTGGTAATGAACAGTAAATGGGATATTTAGCTTGCACTAGAGACCTGCTGCCCAGTTTAGTATCTGAAATGTGTTTGTGTGTGTGTAACAGAAAATGGGTGCCTGCCCTGAAGCTCTGCGCAGGCTGCTGGGAACAGAGCAGTGCAGCTGGGGACCTGCATTCTGGTGCAAGAACATGGAGACAGCAACTCGGTGCAATGTGAGTGGTTAATTTTTCAACCCAAACGTGTCCCCAATGTAATTCTGTGCATATAGGTATAGTGGCCTGCATCTCAGCCTGTCACTGCTTCACTGTCGCTTCAGTTTTGCATTATCTGGGCTACACTTGCCTTATATAGCTTGGACTGTGGTGTATGTTATAACACAAACTAAAGTTTAACTTGTTGTATAATGTTGACACAGCATCAGATGGGTGTTGTTCTGATGGGTCTATAAGTGATTCCTTCCTCCTGAGGAACTGATTGCAAACAGAAGAGACGACTCGGTGTGTTAAGAAAGACTGGCATTGCCTTATTATATCGAAGGAGGATTGGCTTAATACTGCATAGATTTACAACGTGATCATTGTTCTGTTATTGGATGAACTGACGAATACGTCCATTAGTATACTGGTGACCAACTGTTTTGTTTTGTTCAGTTCTACTATATGTTGTATGTTTATAATGCCAAAAGAAAACGTTAAAACAAGAATAACTGGCATTACTTACACTATTAGCATTTTAGTTTGATCCTTAAAACAAAAAATTAATTTTTCTAGACAGAAAATGTTTGTGTTCTTGTTTCAAGGAGCTGATGATAATTATTTTGAGTATACCTCTCACTCAACTTCCTTGTTTGCACTCATTTGTAAATCACTGCCTTTCTAACGTACATAAAGCATCTTAAAATTCGATTGGCTGCTTCAAACCGTAGTCGGTTGATCTTTGCATTTTTAACAAATAAACCACTTTTGTTTTGTGTGTTTTTCCCTTTGCTGCAAATTGAATTAGCTCAGTAATATCAAGCTACTACAAGCTCCTTGTTCATTACAGGGTGGTCATTTCTGCAATTTTGGGCAACCTCAGCAGTCTATTGTCTGTTATTTAAGGAACTTGATACTAAGCTTAACTTTTACTTGCATGACAAAATAGTTGTTGCCTGCATTTGTTACTTCTGACCAGCTTACAATAAATCTCTAGATTCATTTAACCAAGGAGGCATTATATTCCACTGCAGGAGAATTAAAAGCTGCCTCAGATAAGTAATGTACAATTTTCTATCAATTATAATTGACTGCAGCACGTGCACATTTGAAAATAATGACAGAGATCAAAGTTGTCACTGAAGATGTTCAATTTATAAAGTTGATCAAGTTCATTTACAAAGTTATCAGATGGCAGACACAAAACTACATGTTCATCGACAACAATTAGCCAGGTTTTTCCAGCTGAATCCCTCAGTAAGATGCGGTACTACTTTGCCATCTGCATATATTAAAGCTGAAAAACATCACCCTGCATAACAACTTACTATATACCACACATTTTCACCCATTGAACTGGAGACCCAAGTCATGGCAGACACATCCCTAAGGCTCACATCATGAACCATCAGTGTAAACATGACACTTATTAATGTGAGGTATGAAGGAGTTAAGGCCTTGTGGTGAAAAGTGGGAATGAAAAGCTTATCAGTACTTTTACCACATGGCAGACAACTGGCTTTACTGGTGCATTTTGCATCACAGTGCTTTGAGGTTCTGGTATTCATCAGCAGGGGTGCACTGACTCCTGTCCAGCTAGACTATGACCCGACTAGGTTATTGCTTAACAGCCTGGTCAGATGCAGTGCACGATAAGCACAGAGAAAGCAGACCCAACAGCCAGTCCCAGAGTGAGGAAGAAGGACATGACTACTCCTGTGGCCTCTGCCAGTTCCCGAGGTACCACCTTAGGGCCATATATCATTGGCAGAGTCCCTAGATAGCCGTTAGAGAGGCCCAGCAGGCAGGTAAAGACCACAGGGTACACATCATGGGTGAAAAGCACAGTGTGGAGGTGGTCCCTCGGCTGGTAGTTACAGAGCATGAGAAGTGGCACCATGACAGAGCGACACAGCACCAGTGTAGGCAGGACTCGGCTGGTGGGACCAGGAACCTGCAGCCAGGCTGTGGCCTGCCTGCCACAAAAGTCTGCTACATTGTACAGGAGGAAACTGGTGAGTGGCGCAAAGTAAGTGGTTGTCCAGGGGCTGCCGCTGTCTTTGTGGACAGACTGGATCCCTGAGGAAACTGCAGGGAACACCATGATGGAGATGCAGAAGACGTAGAAGACGCTCAGGCCGAGCACCCACGTCTTTCTGAGGATAGGCTGCAGCGGTGGCACTAAGACTCTGCTCCCTGTGCCTGCTGCTCCCTCCTCACTCCTCACTCCTGGATTGGTGCATGTTGCTGCCAGCATGTAGTGTCTAGAGAGAAGAGAAGCAGAAAGCAGCATGTTGGTAATTTAGTACATATACAATCTCTCTTTATGAAGTATATCTGTCAAGTCTGAATTGAATTGGACATTATGGCTTTGATGGCTCGTAGTGTGATCAATAAAATAATCTTATTTTTGTACCATTTCTCCACTTTGAAAAGACATATTGAACCTGCCTCCTAAAAAGTAGGTTTATCATTAGATTGTCATAATGCTGTCTTCGGGGCCAGGTCAACCTTCAAACAGAAGTTGCACATTTAAAATGCACAAACAAATTCACTAGAACAGGTATGCTTATTACAATTTAAACCCACTATGTAGGATTTGAACATGTGTAACTTTGGCACCATCTGGTGGTATTGTGGAGAATGCCACTGTGGCAGATAATGCACACTGCTAACTCTCTCTCTCTGTAATCTATAGTATCCACATTCAGTTGAAAGTAAATTTTACAGGACTTATCTGTATGGGAACCAGAATTTATTTGGCTGCTACTGACCTTGAATATTCCAGCTTAGGCAGCAGCAAATATGCAATGATGCAGAGCAGGATGAAGATGTCCGCTGTTAGGAAATAGGCCACAGCGCTGTCTGTCACATCTTTAGCAAATGCCAAGTCTGCTATTGATGCTACTGCACTCAGGGTGCCTCCCATGGCCTGGCCTGAGACAACAAAAGCACTTCAGCTAATGTTTTGTGCAGTAAGTAACCTCTACATATGAAATATCACTATAAATACATACTTTTTTTGCTTAGCAAGGATAGTAGAGTGCTGACAAGAAATGAGGGACGGGACGATATGCAACAAAGATTCCCCAGACCCGACATGGGAATGTTACAATTAATTGGTCAGCGTCCTAAACTCCTAGCTCACCATGACACCCCATAACTTTTTCCATTTTCTAAATCTGCTTATACCTGTTCTACACTGGACAAGACGCATAATAACCAGTTATGTTAAAACGTTTAATAATAATCCCATTAATTAATTAAAACACTTACATGTCACTATAATAGTCTTGCATTATACAAATATAGAAGCCATTGCAATCAACTTTTCTTTAAGGAACAAGGGATCTAAAGTATTTTTAGCAATATCAGTGTTCAGTCATTAATATGCAAATATATGTAACAAGGTGCTCCAAAATGCAATCCAGAAATGGGCCATCTGTTCTATAGAGCAAAGCTGTCATGTAAGTTCAACATTTCTGTAGCGTATGCTATCGTGTATACTCGTCATGTTTACCAGAGTGTGCACACACACAGACAGACAGATGCCATCATGCCAATGTTATGTCCCACACAGCATTACTGTGGGGGCACGACTTTGTCACAATAACAAGTTATTTTGTCGATAAACTCTTAATAAAGCTGCTAAATTGTGCATACTATATGGATTTCAAGACATCAGAAAGGGTATTTGTACAATGGTACTGTATCAATGCTACAAAGACAATAGTGTAAACAAGAGACTGTGCCTGATATAAGGGCCTGAGAAACCCTCATGGGGAAATGTCCACTGATCCCGAACACACTGCCAGAGAAGAGGTTTGAGGCTCCACTGACGACAGCAACGCTGGCCAGCGTGCCGATGAAGAACCCCATCCTGCTGTCAGACGTGTCCACTTTCACCAGCACTGTGGTCACCACAAACACCAACAGGATGACAAAAAGAGACGACAGAATCCGCACATTTGGTGACAACCTATAAAACACAGCACACACACACACACACACACACACACACACAGTTTTTCAAAGATCAAAGAAGTCCACAGAAAATGAAGCAGATGTTTTGTGCTGTTGGAACAATATGCGTACAATACTGACTGTCGACACAAATGTGAGACACTAAGCTATTAATTATCCACACAAATAATAAATGAAATGTACTCTGCTGCAGAGATGCTGTTCAAAATGACAAAACATCCCCTTTGCTGCATGTTATCTCAGACCAGCACAGACTGATCAAAGTCCAAAGAGAATATAAAAAGACAAAGCATTTAAGGTCACAGGGTTAATTACATTACTGTAATGTACAAAGGCCCTAGATAGCACAAATGTGGCATTGTAACATCCAAACATCTAAAAGACAAAAGTTCACAGAACATGTAAAACTGTACTTCAATGCTTTACACCACATATAGTGGTGAACAGCAAAAGAGACTCAACAAAGACAAATGAGAAAAATGTGTGTGTGTGCGCGCGTGTGTGTGTTGGGTGTATGGGGAATCAACCTGTTAACTAGGACGTAGTTGAGTATCAGACACAGCACAGAGGGTATGGTGGAGGCAATGGCCAGATAACTTTCAAAGTAGTCCTGCAGATAGTTACAGAAAAAACAAAACACTTAGCTTGAATATAAGAACACACACACACTCGTGCACTGCATTTACTGTCTCACACAAAATAAGAGGAAGTGAAAGCAGAGGGCAGCGATATAAAAATGAAACAATTTCTTTCCTTTCCTTTGCTGTGGTGTCTAATTCAAATCAAGCATTCATTTCAGAATAGCAGAGATCTTTAGATCTCATCCAGACCGTTTCATAGGTTATGTTTGTCGTGTCTAAAACAACAGCCTCGCATTAAGTGTACTGTTCTTACAAAAAACAGAACTATTCTGACTAAACTTCTTTGGTGATCATCATCAATCATAACATACTGCACGCCACCATGAATCTGATCATCTCTCACTCACACTGAGGTCTGACCGTTGCTCCTCATTGCTGGTTAGATGACTGTTGTTACTCAGTTTGTAGAGCCAGTATTCTTTGGCTGTTATGAAGAAGTTCCAGGGCAGCAGGGAGCCGATGCCCATCAGAAAGAAGATGATGTACACCAGATTATAAGAGTCCTCTGGACTGTAGCGCACAGCCAGAGGCACAGAGGAATGTTTGGGCAGCAGTGATGCAGATGGACTCTGGTCCTCGCTGTCCTCATCTTCAGATATATGGTGGTTTCCAAGAGCAGTCGGAACATAGGAGGAGTTGAGACTGGGATGCACATGCTCTGCACCGTCCATTTTCACATACAGAACACAGGATCCTCACAAAGCAAAGACACCAGAGAAAAGGGAAGGCAGTAAAAAACACTAAGACCAGAAGTGTTAAACAGAGAGCTGTGAAGGAGAAGAAGAAAAAAAACTTAGTTTTAAAAAAAAAGTTTAAAAAATATCCCTGTGAAATAATTATGTTGTTTCAAAATGTTATGTTTGGAAAATGCTTACTTTTAATTTTGCTTGTCCAGAAAGGAAAAGCAAGACTGTGTCTGTTGTGAAGCCATATTCTGGAGAGGTCTCTGAGCTGTAGCTGGTAGAGATCACTCCAACTGTTTGGATCCTGTGATGCTGCAGTGCAAGGAGTCACATTTAACCCTGGGATAATCATTCCCATTCAGGGCATATTGACAGGTGTTTTCCAAATGTATCCCTTGATAGATACACATGTCAGATAAAGCTGTTAATGTTCAACACAAAACAGTGAACACCACAAACTGCTACCTCTGTAGGGACAGAAAGATAGACAATTAAATAATGTTTAATCATCATGATGATTTAGATGAAGTGGAATGTGGCATGGACACACTGTTATTTTCTCTCTGTGCCACAATTGCAATATTAATGGGGGAACTGGGATCAGTACTATTTGGCAGCAATGTGTGGACGTGAACTCACTGCTCTCCCACAGCTGGAGTCAGTCTTTGACTTGGGTAAGTGCAATGACGGCTTTGGCGGATTTTTTTTTTTTGGCGCTCGATCATATAAAGCAACTCCGCATTTACCACACCTATTTCCCTAAGGCATGTGATTGTTTGACTCATTATACTCAGTTTCGGTAATCACAACAGATTCATCTCACATCTGCACGCGCTCAACATCACATGTCAAAAAACAGACACTGGCACTAGTTGAATGCACAATCAGGGGTTATATCTATTTAAGGAGGTTAAAGGAAGACTGACGTGATTGTACAAAGCTGACCTTGCATCTGAAAGTATCATGTGTGCCACTATTGAGGAACAAGTATTCACATGATGCTACCAAGAAAGAAGATTAGCGTTACACGCACTGGAACTGCACAGCACACCGAGTAACTTAGTATGCATGCATGTAAGTTAAAGTTAGTCACTGCGGACAGTTTCACCGAAGGTTTTTCACTATTCACTGCAAAATGATTCTGCTCATTCTGCCGTGGTCCTCGTTCTTTGGCTCATCACGCGAATAGACAAGCCAAGTTTGATTTGTTTAGTGTGGACACACTGGTGTGAAACAGTCAAACACACGTAAACTAACATTAGCTTAGTGGGTATCCCAGCCTTTTAAAAAGTAACGTTATCCACCAACGTAGCTAACCTACTCGACCCGTGCCTAATGGTCGCTCATTAAATAAAATATAAACATACCTCACTGTTGGAGACTCCTTGTCCGTTACTTCTGTCTACAGAAGTGTTAAACAGCGACACATTAATCCATTTCACAGCAAACTTTATTTCTGGTCAGCTGACAAACAACATTCATTAGCTTTTGATCCACCAGCAGCAACAAGAACATGACTTCCGGTGTGAGCTCTTCAGAATAAAAGCACGTCCCTACGGTCCCTATGGTCCCTTCCCTTACGTTTATAAAAAAAAAAAAACTTGATAGTAACTTGACTGTTTTTTATAATATAATGTAACAATAATACATTATTTCACAGCTTAGTAAATGCCTCTAAACGGGGCGGAGTGTGTGTTTGTGTGTCCTCTAAGTTTACATCCTCTAAGTTAGGGGAGAGCGGGGTATGTTGTCACTCTTTTCACACTGTCTAATATTTAGGGAGCACCGTACGTCACAATGGTAAAAATGTCATACCAAATGAAAGAATGAAGTCTTGGGCAGAAGTTTTGTATTCATTACATCTTCCTATCTTATCTCATTATGGAGCTGTAGACTGTTGAATAGAGAGTGTGCACTTGTGACAATTTGCCCCATCAGCAGGTAAGTTGTCACACTGCATTATGTAAATTGTCACACTGGATTATCAACATTAACAGTTAGAACACTTAAGTGTGAATATTGATTTCAATTTCAAATTGTTACCAGAACTAAAAATACAAATCAATCAACAATCAAGCCTAGAGAATTTGGAAAATAAATAATTTAATTAAAAACAAAACTGTTGGCAGAGCACACATTAACCTCTTTACTTTGAACTTTAAAATGAAACATTCTCTGGAGTGCAAATAGATCTGATGCAACAATGTGCATTTTTGTATGAATCAGAATCAGAATCAGAAATACTTTATTAAAGTACTTTATAAAAAAATAAAGACAAATATAAAGGTATGTGGGTATGTACAATATTTAAATTATTAAGAATTATTATGGTGAACCAAAAAGGACTAGAGCAGAGGTCACTAATAGGCGGACCGCGGTCCGGATCCGGACCCAGCCGCCGTCCTCTCCGGACCGCCGACCTACAGCCCATTTATTATTGAGACTTACTACCTCGTGACGGAGCGTTTCTATTTTAACCCGCGCAGCTTTTCTAGCATTTACTGTACTGGTTTAGAGGACCAGGAAACTCACAGACCAATCGCATGTGCTCCAATCGTCTCATGTGACGCTGCTCAGCCAATCAAATCTGTGCATACCGATGCTTGCGAGTCGAGTCCGCGAGATTCACCAGAGACGTTTTGGAAACACACCCGAATTGAGGAGACGAAAGGGAAAAGAGATTTCACATGACTTTTAATCAAGAATGTACAGATTTTTACATGTACATTCCTCCCACGGGCAGGTGGGTGTAGATGCAGTCGAGCAGGAAGATGATGGTGTCCTCAACTCCCAGTCGGGGTTGGTAGGCGAACTGGAGTGGGTCCAGAAAAGGGCTGACCATGGGCCGCAGCTGATCCAGAACCAATCTCTCCAGGGTCTTCATGATGTGGGAGGTCAGCGCCACAGGTCTGTAGTCCTTGGAGTCACTGGGACGTGGCGTCTTTGGCACAGGAACGAGGCAAGATGTCTTCCACAGCACAGGGACCCTACGGAGACTCAGGCTCAGGTTGAAGACATGGTGAAGGACTCCACATAGCTGGGGGGCACAGGCTTTGAGCACCCCGTGACGAACACCAGATCATATGTATCTGACTAATCAGACATGAGTCACATTTCTGACACACATAAATTGCCTGGCCTGAGGTGCAAACATCGCAGGCCCATTTGTTGCATCTCACACACCTAAACCACATTTCCTTTGGAATACTGTATGAAAAAGGCTCCACATAGATGAGGCCAAAAGAGATGTCAGCAGCTTATGTCAAAATCCTTAGTTGTACTTCTGACTGATTTGTTCTTCAACTTCACCTGCCTGACTGCCTTTAACATTATGTCAGGTTGTGTACTGTCATTCTCTGTCTTCTGTTGATAATTTTCTTCCTTCCTTCAAAAACACATTCCTCCTTGCAATTACAAATTACAAGCTTATTTGTCTACTACCCTTGTTGCCTAACTAAATTAATAACTGTATGTGTGTGTGTGTTTGTATCTACTAACACACTACATGCCTACGGTATAAGACCGTATCTGTCATGAATTCAGTCTTGTCCAGGCATATGGCTGCTGCTGTAAACTACAGAGCATGTTATATGTGTTTATTTGTACTGGGGCAACTAATCACATGTGACGACTTGCCCCAAAGTCATTGAGACAACTTGGCCCAAACTGACGTGTGCTAATGTTGGCTAAATCACAAGGTTAGCTTAACATAGCACTTCAGCTGAAGTATCAAAAGACACATTATTGTCTCCTCTAGTTTGTGCAAAGTTATCATTTTGAACATTCACACCTAATAAGGTTGGAATACATAAAATATTAAGTACAAATGTTTTATTGAAGCAAAAAAATAATAAAATTGTGCTGATTAGAGTGACCTTGACCACACGTGAACAGGAAGTTGAACATAGAAAAAAAAGTCACACAAAATGGCCATTTGATTTTTGTCATAGAGCCTCTAGTGTTGGAGTTATGAGCAGTGTGACAACTTACACATGAGACAACTTAGCCCGCTCTCCCCTACTCTAACAGACCATATGTGTCTCAGTTTAAAAGAATTTCTTTCTAAACACAAATGTAGTGGAAACTGTGATTCCTATTCAACAGTCTGTTAATGAAAGGACAAAAGTTAAATAAGATGTATTATGATATTGTATAAAAGCTATATTTTTCTCAGTAAATAACCATATATCTATCCATCAATATTATTTATTGAGCCCAATTCAATCAATATTACCTTTTAACCTAATTTCATACAAAGTAGCTTGAGTGGGGAATTATTTCTTTCTTGCAATTATTATTATTATTATTATTGTATGTAGGGTTTCCCCTCAGAAACTGATGAAGTGGTAGCACCCAAAATGGACGCGCTTACCTACAGTCTGTGGTGTGAAATATAAACATTGTTGTCTGTCAGCGTATTTGGTACATAAACGGTTTGCAGCTCTCGTTCCCCTTCGAGGGAACTTGAACTGCGTCGGTTAGGACACTATGGGAACGCCTCTAGGCGTAGCAGGTCTGAACGTGAATGAAATCACTCCAATCCTATTGGCTTGTTGCTAGAACTGTAAGGTGTGACGGAATAACCGGAGGAGTATAAAGCACACCTGTACACACTCATCATTAGCTTTTTTTCTATTCAGCAGGCGCTCTGTATGTTGTTTGAAGAAGCTCCAGTCCTACAAGCAGTGTGTCTTACCTGAAGAAGAAGTCTACCAGCATGACCGGCAACCAGATGTACAGAAGGTGTGTTTTTTCTTGCCCTCGGTACATCACGGATGGAGATTCTCATGAGATGTGTGTCTCATGTTTGGGGATGGAGCACGCCCGGGCAGCTCTCGAGGGGGCTGCCTGCGCCCGTTGCGAAGCCCTTTCCGAAGCCCTTTCCGTGCGGGTACTGAGGTACAGCATGGCTCTCTTTTCCGAGGATGGCCGGATGTGTTCTCCCCGTGGTGCGGGCCCTGCGGCCGCTGAGGCGGCCCGGCGGCTTCACTCATGGGGTTCACAGCGTGATCTGTCGGAGGATTTCGGGATGGCTGAGGCTTTTTCCTGACCTTCATCCGCTGGCTCCGAAGCTTCCTTTCCTCGTTCGGGAGCCCGTTCTCGGCTTCTCCCGCTAGCGGTTTGGATCCGGAGACGCTGCAGCAATCCGACTCCGAGGAGGCGGACGTGCTCAGCGTAGTGGACGATGACTTCCGGGTGTCAGGGCGGCGTTATCAGGTGGCACCCGACTATGACATGCTGCTGGAGGTGGTGACTAGAGTCGTGGCTAAGCTCAACATCAACTGGCCACAGGAGGAGCAGACACCACAGGCTAGTGGTAAGCTTGATGAAAGGTTTCTTAAGCACCACGCGCCACCTCCACGCCGGTCTCTGCCATTCTTTCCTGATTTACATGATGAACTGAGTAAATCATGGGGCAGACCCTTCTCTACACGTCTTTCCACACCCCTATCACTGAACTACAGTAATGTGATGGGGGTTAGGGACCGTGGTTATGGGAGGATGCCTCGGGTGGAGGATGCGCTTGCGAGCTATCTCTCCCCTCGATTTGCGTCCTCCCTGGAGAAGCCGGCGTCCCTCCAAGCAAGAAAAAACACCACATCTACGCTCATCTACGCTCGTGGGGAAGGCGTACATGGCAGCGGGCCAGGCAGGTGCGAGCTTGCACACCATGGCGGTGCTTCAAGCCTACCAAGCCGACCTGCTACAGGAGACGGTGCAGAGGGGGGGTCCCTCTGAGGAAGATCTGGTGGAGCTTCGCAGAACCACAGAGCGTTAGACGCAGGGCGAAGTGTTCCGCCGATCGAGGTCCCCTCCGCCGTGGCAACGGGTGATGTTATCCCGCCGTTTACATGTGCACCTGCCACCATCGAGTCCACGCCGTACTGCCTGCCCTGAGGGTCTGCAGTCAGGCGGCGTTCAGACTCACTCACCGTGGATCTTCGGCGGCTCTCCCCTGCCGTTCTGGGGCTTCAGGGGTCCACAGAAGATCACACGAGACACCGACCACCAGCCCCGAGGGGCTGGTTCCGTTGGCAGACTTTGCAGAGGCTTGGCGGAGCCTGACGAACATTTCTCCGTGGGTCCTGCGCACTGCCATAGATGGGTTTCGACTACAGTTCAAAACCCGCCCTCCAAAATTCAACGGGGTGGTTTGGACTGTGGTCCGCCCGGAGCAAGGTCCGGTGTTGGGACAGGAAGTTCTTACTCTGCTGAGGAAAGGGGCCGTGGAACGTGTCTCCCCCCAGACAGAGACGCCGGTTCTACAGCCGGTACTTCATAGTCCCCAAGAAGGACGTAGGGCTGCGCCCTATTTTGGATCTGCGGGTTCTAACCGGTCTCTGAGGAGATTCAGGTTCAAGATGCTCATCATCCCCGCCATCGTGATGCACGATAGATCTAAAGGACGCCTATTTCCATGTCTCCATCCGTCCTTTACACAGGAAGTTCCTGAGGTTCGCCTTTGGGGGTGTGGCTTACCAGTATCGGGTTCTTCCATTCGGCCTGGCACTTTCCCCTCGCACATTCACCAAGTGTATGGATGCAGCACTGGCCCCGCTGAGGCTCCAGGGCATCCGGATTTTCAACTACATCGACGACTGGCTCATCCTAGCCCAGTCTCGAGAGTTGGCGGTTCGGTTCTCATCTGCTGCGTTTAGGGCTGAGGCTCAACGCAAAGAAGAGTGTGCTGGCGCCCACCCAACGGACTACGTTCCTAGGGGTAGTATGGGATTCGACAACGATGGGGGCACAATTGTCTCCGGCACGTGTCGACACCATATTGGCTGCCGTGAAAGGGGTGAAGTTAGGCCACGCCACCACTATAAAACACTTTCAACGAGTGTTGGGTCTCCTGGCGGCTGCGTCCAGCGTAATACCATCTGGACTGCTGCACATGAGACCCCTGCAGTGGTGGCTAAGGGCAACACAGCGGTGGTGGCCGAATCACCAGGGCGGTCTGCGCTCGCGCCCTCTGTACAGACTGGCGCGTCAGATCCTCCTGTGATCCAAGCAGAGGTTACTATCGCTCAGGGCGATGTATCTCCTGGGGACGCAGAATCAGGGAGCAGACCTGCTGTCGAGGCAGGGGCTGAGGCCCGGGGAATGGAGACTTCACCCCGAAGTGGTGGAGCTCTTGTGCGGAGAGTTCGTCCCATAGACGTGGATCTGTTTGCGTCTCAAGAGACTACGCACTGCCCACTATGGTTTTCTCTCGTTCCTCCAGCCCCGTTGGGTCTGGACGCCATGGTACATTTGTGGCCGAGGCTACGTCTGTACGCTTTTCCCCTAGTCGCACCTAGAGGCGGGTCTAACAGCCGAAGCAGTCGAGACCCTCCTCAGCTCCAGGGCCCCGTCCACATGGATCGTTCGTGGTGCCCGGAGGATGAGACCTGCGACTCGGTCCAAGGTTCCCACTTGGGATCTGGCGGTGGTTCTTGGGGCATTGGCTGAGGCACCCTTCGAACCCCTGGAGTCAGCTGAGGCTAAGCACTTGACCCTTAAGATGGCCTTTCTCCTTGCTATCACCTCTCTGAGGAGGGTGGGGGATCTCCAAGCGCTTTCGGTTTCCCCGCAAAGCCTGGAGTTTGCCCTGGGGAATATTAGGGCTATCCTGCACCCTCGTCCAGGATACATACCTAAAGTGCCTTCTTGTGCGGCAGGGTCCACAGTGCTGCAGGCATTTCATCCTCCACCTCATGTGACGGCGGAGGACGGGAGACTTCATCTGCTCTGCCCTGTCAGAGCACTGAGTATTTACACTCTGAGGTCCTCCCGTTGGAGGAAAGCTGACCAGCTGCTAGTGTGTTTTGGGTCCCCCAGGGCCGGGCTCCCTGCATCCAAACATACTATTAGCAACTGGATTGTTCAGACTATTTCCTGGCCTATCAGGTGTGCGGTTTGCCTTCATCTGTGGCTGTGAGGGCTCATTCTACCAGAGGCATGGCGGCCTCTCGAGCCTTCTTTTCTGGGGCCTCTTTGCAGGATGTTTGTTTAGCGGCTGGCTGGGCCACTCCGCACACATTCATTCGGTTTTACAGTCTTGACCTTCCTTCGGCACCTGGCACTCATGCGCTCTCCTCTTAGTCGTGCCACTTTATTGCACACTGGGGCAGGCGTGGTTTAGTGGGTATCTCGTTCCCATAGTGTTGTAACCGACGCAGTTCGAGTTCCCTCGAAGGGGAACGTCTCGGGTTACCTATGTAACCCTGGTTCCCCGAGAAGGGAAACGAGACACTGCGTCGGCCCGCCGCACCTCTCTCCCCGCCTGAAGCGCCTGCTTCATAGTTTAAGCTAATGATGAGTGTGTACAGGTGTGCTTTATACTCCTCCGGTTATTCTGTCACACCTTACCGTTCTAGCAACAAGCTAATAGGATTGGAGTGATTTTTGTCGTAACCGATGCAGTGTCTCGTTCCCCTTCTTGAGGAACCAGGGTTACATACGTAACTCGAGACGTTCTCTACAATGAGCACAATCGGATGACGTTTTCGAAAGATCATTTTTCAATGATGTTTTTATTGTCCCGAATGAAAATTATGTTTTTATTGTCCCCACCTACACTAACATGAAATATCCGCCCTTATTGTTACTGACACGTCAACCGCTAATGTACCACTTTCAAATGTACAGATGAAAAAAAAAAACGAATTGTACGTCAAAAAGAGCTTTTTGCTTTTAGAAAATTGCTTGAATTTCAAATATTCCTATAAAACAAATTACATCATTGAACATCTCTATAAACCAGCAATGTTAAACTTTTAAATCATATAATGTGTAGCATATGTTACATATATTACGATTGTACCATTTTGTGTTGTGGGTTTTGTGTGAAAGTGTGGCACATCATATCTACCAGGAGAGGGCACCATAGGGCAGCATGTCCAGCAGTGTGTTATTGCTCCTGTGTGAAATGTGAAAACAATGGAAATAGGCCTACATGTAAGAAGACAAGTTTAAAATGCTCCAAGAGATTTTGTATCTATGGCTGCAATGAAAACCTGCAGACTCTTGGCTATCTGTAAATTGAGTGGACACCACTGGACTAAACTAATTATTAGATGAATCACTGTCCAAATGTGGAGGCTATCAAACTAGCAGCTGCTGAATTGCTGTTTCCCCCTGGCAACAACAGATAGAATTGTGCAGGACCAATCTTAGGTGATTTAAAAAATAGTTATAATTTCATGATGTAGAAAAAGAATATATGTTGTAAATGCTTTACTTTGTATGTGTATGTATGTTCTGGCAGCACATGACGTCTGTTAAAAAATAAAAAATAAAAAATAGTTTTAATGGGTCTTTAAAATATTATTCTCACAGATTTTTTCACAAAAAAGTAACAAAACCATCCTCTGTAGAGGTGAGGGCTTAGGTTGAAGCTTTTATATTGGACCACCACTTTATGTTTTATAAAAGGTTCAATCTATCATTTAATGAAGCAGGTGCAAAGTGTTGCCTGCCATTAAGACCACACTGCAGTGCACACTCACTACAGAGATGACTCACTGGGATATTTGTTCTCGATAGAAGAGCCTAATCTGACGAATCCCTACACATCCTGCACTGAGGTAAGCACGGTCGATCTAAACACCTGGAGTCAATCCTTGAAGGCCACTATTAGCGTCTCTAAAACCTTGTTAATTTGAAGGCTGGAGTGCAGTTAAAAGCTTTAAAAAGCTAAATGGACCTAAAGGGAATTTTCCAATGAGGTGTGAGGAAATGAGGGACAGGCGAGTAGCTTGGCATTTTCTGTGAAAATGGGGTGTAATTGATAAAAACACAGATGCCATTTAACAGTGATTTTGTTCTGCCAAGGAGCTCCAAAGTTTTAATTCAATAACAACAACAAAACATTCACTATTGGTAAACTAAGAAATATAATTTATTGCATAAAAATTATATTTAGTTACAGGTAAGAAGGCTAGACGTTTATTTACAATTGGTACTTTACAGAGATAAAATAATGTCACTGATTCCACTTAGTTATTTTTGTAAAAATGTCGGACTTCTTGAACAAAGGCTAAATTCTTCTCTTTGACGGGAGCAAGGAGGAATCCAGTACAGCTTCAGCATACATAATCCAACAGATACTCAAGAAATGTGGACGAATACACACTGTAGTATACAGCAAGCCAGTCTCTGTAACAGGATTTGAGGAAAGAAAATAGCCCTGCAGTGTTCAGGGATCCAAAGAACTGAATTGGTCGTGACGATATTTCCTCAGGGGGTGGGCACGAGTTCATGATGTTAGTCACAACTTGTTGTGTAGCCATTGCACCATTCTTTATTTTGTTCTCCCACATGTGCTTTTTCAGTACTAGCTTCCTCGGTCAGTGATCCAAATCTTCAAATACACATGGAGAGTTCCCACACACACTCCCATTAACAAAAGTGTTAAACCATTCTTAAACCACTTTAGGATACAAAATCAAAACCCTGTCAATGTCCTGATCTGAAAAAATAGAATTACTCTTCCAGGAAACAAAAGAAGTCAAAATGCTTTGCTTTTCTTTTGCACTTGCATAGCACTTACAAGGAGAAATGACAGATCTTAAGTGTGTGCACACCCACCTGCCCACTCTCTCTCTCTCTCTCTCTCTCTCTCACACACACACACACACACACACACACACAAACACACACACACGCACTTGTGTTTTCAGTTCATTCACACAAAACAGCGACATGACTCACTGCTGAAGAGGAGGGATACTGCCTGTGTTTTGGTTTTTGTGGTTTCAAACATATGAACACTTTTTTTGCTTTGTGGGAGAAAAAGACACACAGAACTGAAAAAAATTAGAGATGACAGCATTTCAATTCCTGTCTAACAATAATTGACAGAAAAAATATTGATAATGCAAATTGCATGGGGACCCTGACCACAAAGCAGGCGGCTTAGCAAAAAGTTTAACAATATGTTAGAAGGGAGACATAATTAGTTACAGGGCGATGGGTGGACGGACGGACACATGATAAGTTGCAGACAGAACAGATTGAAGCATTATGCAGTTAGTGTTGAGGTAAATTTTATGGCCCCTTGCTGCCTAGTTGATTCAAGGCAAGGCTAATCTATTCTGTAATATCCATCTCTGAAAAGTGGAAACCGCCCTCAGTTACAGCAAAACAATATGCCTACAGTATATTCGCCTGGACATTTGAACACTTCTAATCATGTTTTACAGATTATATTTTACATTTTGAATAGATACACAGTATTAAAAAATAACAAAGAAACGTGGTTTTGTTATTCACAACTGAGACCTCCACTGTGCACCTACGTAACTCTCCCATTTGGCCTGCTCTACTAGAATCAAAAATAATACACAGCAGCTCAGTAGCCTAAACAAGCACAGATGATAGAACAGGTTCTATATGATCGTAACAGCAATGACAAAGAAAAAACAATCCACAAATATGGATAATAACTTAAAAAGCGTTCCCCAAAGGAAACTTTTAAGGGATGACCAGACAGCTCTCCTGCAGCTTATTCTCAAGAGAGCAGAGGAGTGTGGCAGACCGATGGAGGAACGCGAGGAGAGATGAAAGAGAAACACCCCTGTGAGTCGGAATGATATGCCGAGGCTTTGAGGCATTTGTTGGTACAATATAAAGAGTCAGTTGGTCTAGCCATCCGCTAGTTCTTAAATAAACTTCACCCTCCTCCTATAAAGAAGAGGCAGCTTTTATTTTGAGGCCAAGGCGATATGCTCAAGCCCTCAAACCTTGAGGGTTCGGTTCTCATTTGATTTGTTGACAGTCAAAGCAGTTGGACAAGAAATCCTAGCCTCTGTGATTCAGAACCGGTTAATGAACAGTTTGTCCATGCGTCTTTCACTGCACACAGAATGAGAATGGAGAAAACAAAAGCCCCTGACATGAGGTGAAATGGTGTTAAATCATGCACTTTCATGCTGCTACTGAAACATGGATAATCCTGTGTTAGCACTTGTGTGTTTGTGTTACTGTTCGTGCTTTAGTGTCTGGAATACATGGATTTATTTATTTGTTCCAAAGCTTTGTTATTTATATACAAGAATTGTGTCATTTTCAATCTTTGAAGAAGACAGTCAACACCACATTTGACAGATGACTTTATGCCCATTTTACACCTTCGTACCCTCAAATTGGTTTCATACCTTGCAGATGCAACATTGCTTTGGAATATTCAAACTGATTCAGATTAGCAATTGTCATAGAATGGCCTGTATGAGAATGGGTTATGGTGCATATGTAGCTACAGTAGCTGATCAGGGGGGCATGAAAAGGAAGAAGTAATGCAGTACATATGAAAGAACCAAAAAAGCTCTGGGGGTCATGATTTGTGCTGGGGTGTGCATATTCATAGGCAGGTATTCTTTTCATCACGGTGGTGAAAAAAAAAAAAGTCTTGCTTGCTCTCTCGTTCCTTGACCAATCAACAATCCCCATCTGTTGTCATGACAACTAGCACCTCACTCTTGCCCATCTCTTCCAGCGCGGTCGCCAGAGAGACCAGGTCTGCGTCAGCTTGGTGACAAGCTTCCCATAAGTCCAGCAGAACACCTGTGGGGCTGGGCTTTGTTGCAAAGTAGTTCAAATACCTGAAGGGGAGAAAGAGAAGGCACTTTATAAGAAGAAAGGGACAGAGTAAAGGAAACCCTCCATTATTGATTACAAACTTTTTAGTCATTAATACTGTATGTTGCAAATACTGCTGGTACTACTTTATTTTGACAGTCCAATTGTGATGCCCAACTAACTATCATATTTCACAAAGCAGGATTAGCTAGTTAGCAAGATGAAATATCTTGCAATGGACAAAATGCATGGCTGAATCATATTCCTGAACCTAATTTTCAAGTCATGTTTTCCAGACTCCTATCAGTATGACTAGGATATAACGGTTATGTTAACTTGAACCTAAACCCAGCTCTGAAATGAACTCTGAACTGAGCCTGAGCCCTTTTTAAAATCATAACCCCATACATCTAACCTCAGACAGCAAATATCTACACGCCACCTTTTGTACAATTCTGAGTTTTGACTTGATAGTAGGAGCTGTAGCAGTATGGACTCCAAATCTAAAGCGTGGCCAAACTGCCTTTCACACGCGAACATGTGAGGCAGATCTGACCTGTCAAAGCCCAGACTGCGTGCCAGTAGTCTCCAGTCACATCCTCGAGCACTGGGCGCATCTAAACTGGCACAGATCTTCTGGCGGATGGAGTCAGGCAAGCGAAAGGCATAGGGTCCCACTTGAGAGGAAGGCAGGCATGTGCCTCCTGAGGGGAGGGGCGAGTGTGGTGGTAGAGTCTGGATTGACAGAGATGGTGAGAAGCATTGAGACAAACCTTTGTATGGTTTGGCATAAATGTTGTGGCTTTCATTGAAGCTTTCTCTGTGTTTGCATGCATTATTTCAGCTGGCACCATTACCTCCTGAATATCTGTGTGCAGCTGGAATATCTGCCCCTCCCCTTCCACCTGTCGGACACAGATCTTACAGGTGAGCTGTGACACAGCCAGACTCCCTCTTTCCAGGCTGAAGGTGCAGTGTAACGGTCTCTGACTGCCGCTCCAAATGTGATAGAACGGGATCTCCTGTTAACAAAGACAAATGTTAAGAAATAAAAAAGGTCTATGCTGGGATTAAGGTGGATTTGTCTTGAGCAGCACAATCAGGAAGGATCTGGAACATAGTTTCCATTCAAGGAGAGTACGATATGCTTTATTTTGATATTGGGTGTTTCCACCAACTGGTACTCCGTGTGTCAGAGGACAATTTATTTCTTAAGCGCACTGTCCATAAATTAGGACCTTTATCAGATTTCCTGTTTGTTTATTCAGAGAGGGTTTAGACTGCAATCTCAGTGCTGCCGCCAAGAGAATGCAGCAGAGGGTTTGGATGTTTACAACAGTAGTGGAGCAGCATTAAGTCCACTAGTTGTATTTTCTGAGAAAATGGCCATTCCACTGAAGTGAAATCAAGAGTTTGTTAGATCAAAGTTTTCTGCTACTTACTCACCTATTAAGAAGCTATTTATCAAATGGTTTTATTAGTCTACATTATTTAAGCTGCTGATGATCTGTGTTACATCGTTAAACATTTTACATATTAACAGTCTGTTATCAAGTATTTGCTGCATTTTGAGTGTCTCACCTGATATTTTGCCAGCAGTTTGCTTCTCCAGTGAGAATGGGGAATGTCGTGGATGGACAGGCGCAGGTTGTGGTAGCTGTCTTTGAAAAGCAGCGGCTTGGGATCCTCCAGCAAAACTCCGCCTAGACTCCTCTCCAAATCCAGCACCTCCTGCACAGGGGCAGAGAGAAGACGGCCTTAGGAACATATTTATTTTTATCAATTTCATTATGGGTTTATACTTTTAACACATTTCACAACATGCTCTCAGAAATGCTTAATTAAAATCCGCAGTCCCTGAGTTGGTGTGTCCAAATGGAAATGTGTGAGAGTCTAACAGTTTGAAAGCTGTCTGAACTTTAGCAGCCAGAAATCATGTAATGTGATGCCAGTAAACTGCACAGCATGCTCATGTTTACTACCCCGGCTGGTCTGTGAACACTTTCTACAAAGTGGACTGAGAGAGGGAAAATATTTAACATCAGTGAGTCCAACTTTCTCTGGATGGAGTGCTTGTTTTCTATTTAGTAGCGGGTTTGTATTTTGCTGTACTATTTTGAGTTATTGCTTCTAGTGTGTAAGGAGTCAATATGTGATACCAAAATATGATTTGTGTGAGTAGTGTGCATCTGCAGGGTCTCTGTTTCGAGGGGATGGGACTTCTCTATTGCCCTCGACTACAATGGAAATAAGTTATCTTAACTTTTTGTGTTATTACCCTGTTCTAGGCACAACACCTTGTTGGTGTTATATGCTATTTATAATTTGTTTTATTTTATTTCATATTGTATTTTTTGTCATTGCATGTCCAGGTCCCACATTGGAATCTGTATCTTTTGTGATGGTTTTGTGAATATATAGCATGTTATTTGTATGTGTGTGTCAAGCTCTAATCTTGTCTTCTGGAGTCTTTCAGTAATTAGCAGTAATGCACTTGAATAAATATTCACACTAAGTATTGTATTGCATTGCTAGATTGACTGGCAGTACAATACTGATGGTAAATGGTAAAGGAGAAAAGCAAACAGACATGCGCAGAGAGCAACACACAAGCAGCACCTTGAGTGCATGTGGGGTGTCGTGGATGCAGTAGATACGAAGGCTGTAGTCCAGGGAGAGGCAGGGCGCTCGAGGGGCGAATAGAGCCAGCTGCAGGCGTTTGCAGGCAGGCTGTGGAGGGCAGGACTGGCCCACAAGGCCGTACGTTCCCAGTTGCTCCATGAGAACATGACAACACTCCTCCTCCAGCTGAAGGTAGCACGGAGACGACAAAGTCTCCTCTCCTACTGTCAGAACCTCCTGCAAAAAGATCGAAGTAGGGTTCAATGATGTCACGTAGGCCAACGAGATATCTGTTATTTGGTACCAGTGCGAAGCTGTCTCACCTCCCATGCCCCCTGGTGAGTCTGTGTCTTGAGTGTGAGGGTCCAGTCAGGTGTAGGTGTGTCTAGCTGGGCACAGTGGGGCAAAGTAAGAACCACAGGGCGATTCAGCAGCATACCAGATGGGCCACAGCTCACCACAGGGCTTAGTACAGTTTGACTGCCCTCAGAGGGTAGCCTGTAAATGTCACACATATACACACACACACACACGCGCACACACACACACACACACACACACACATTGATGTATTTGAGGCACACTGAATATTAAACCTGCAGAAAACTGGCAAGAAATGAATCCGCCAATTTTAGTGTAGAAGTTGAGACAAGTTGACACATTTTTCATCCCCAGAAAAAGTGATACAACTTCCAAATAAATGTCAAGTTTTTGGAAGTAGGTGAGTCTTGCATGGGAAAACTTTTGATTGAGGTGAGTCCATTCTGCCTCATGGTTGCAAAACAGTTGAGTGAAATAGAGGAATAAGGATGAGGGGCACTCACGTTGTTTTGTCCCACTTGTTGATAATGAGGTACATCTCATAGAACTTCCCCTGGGGAATTGTGCCTGGGGGGACCAGCAGATTCACTCCTAAGGGAGAATGTGTCATGACTTATCTTATGTGTAATTAACTGAACATGTCATTGGTTCACACTGGGCGCATGAATTCTGTTTTTATTCGATATATCCTATGATACCTGTATTGGGGATGGTAAGGCGTCCTCCCAGATTACCCAGAGTGGCGCTGGTGCTCAGCCCAGGCTCTCTGGACAGGGTGTGGCTGTGGTACTCCCGCTCTCTGCCCACAGTACCTACCGACTTCAGGCTGAGTATTTCCCCGTCATGTGAGCACATGTCCGCAGGGAGCTCCAGGGAGGAAAGAGTGGAGGCGTTATACACCTTGATTTTGAGACCGGGCAAGGGGTCCAGCAGGGGAGAGGTGGTCATGGGGATTTTGTGGGGGCTGTCGTTGACCCCCTGCTGCAGGGAGAAGAGCGGCCCGCGGAAAGCCCCCGCTGTTGCAGTCAGATCGGGAGGAGCTGAGGGATGCAGAGGGTGAGGGTTATCTGTGGACACAGGAGAAGAGAGGAGCTGTTCTCTTATCACCAGAAATGACACAGGCAGAGTGCTAAAAGTGACGCGGGTGAAATGGATTAATGTTGCTAATTAATATTTGATAGCAAGAAGGAGAGAGGATACCATGACAAATGCTTTAAGAATTAAAAAAAAAACTGCAATGCAGTAAAGAATGGAGAACTGACTAAGTGAGAGGAGCTAATGGTATAAAAAGAATAAATTTATGGGATGAATAGCAATGTGAAAGTGAAATGACTTGTGAAATCCTTCTATTAAGATGAGTAAAAACAAGAAAAGTTTTGAAAATAAACAATAATAAAAAAAGACATTGTATAAGAAATGTGTACTGAATGATGCATGTGTGTGACTGGGAGTATGTGTGAGTGTGTGTGAACTTACCCTGTCTGGGAGGCTTGTAGTTGCCAGGGTGGAAGGCGGCTGTGAGAGCAGACGATGAATCCGTGATGTCTCCGTGGAGATGGCGGCATCTGCGGCGATATGCAAGCACTCCCACGCACAGCACCAGTATCACACACAGCAGCAGGGCCCCCACCAGACCAGCGTAGACCGCTACACCCATACCTGGGGCCAAAGCTGAAGGAGGGATTGAAAGGCAGCCAGTCAACGCACAATAAAGAGACACATGAAAACACACGGATACAAATGCGAGGGAAACACAAGAGGGAAGAAAATTCAATTTAAGAGATATCATCTGATTTACTACATATCAGTTGTAGCAGAAAGTAGCATAAATTAACAACAAATCCATTAATCTCACTAATCAAGATTCGAAACATTTTCTGGTTCCCACGCATCAGATGTGAGGATTTGCAGCTTTCCTTACCATTTTAAATTCATCTTTTTTTTTTAAGAAATTTTGTCTGAAAATTTTAGATCAGACAAAGCAAATCAAGCAAAAGAAATGTGTGATGGCACTTTACACTATCTATATTCTAATACTCACATTTTATTGTGGTACATTATTCATTTAGATTTAACCAATACATTAATCTATAATTAATCAGTAGCTGCCGCCCTGTTTTGACAAGGGCAGCCACAGTTGAAATTAAAATCTACATGCCCATTTGCACATTAAATGAGCTATTGGTCACTGTAATTTTTCCTCCTGTCTATACTGGGCTTGAAGAGATCCCTCCCTAACATGACTTCAATGTAAGTGATGGGGACAACATCCACAATCCTTGATCTGTGTAAAAATGGCAATTCAAAGTTCAGCTGAAGCTAATGTGAGTCTTCAGCAGTCCGAGTAAGTCAGATCAAATGTGTATCTTAAGTTGCAGTATTTTTAGTGCTTTATTCCCTCTTTGTGTTACTTTCACACCATCACGGCTCGGGAAGGAAACACGGTCCGGGAAATCAAAATTGGTGATTAAGCACTAAAAAGACTGTAACTCTAGAAAATACTAGGGATCCACAGATCTGATATGCCCAATTGGTATTGACGCCGCTGCTGACCTTATTAGGTGGATCAGGTGTCGGCCATGATGTGACCGATCCACATTAAATGCAGTTTCTTTGTCAGTGTCATTATAAAATTCACTGTGTTTGCTATGAGTGACATAAATTCTGTCACGGCGGGTCACTGTTATGCTGGCATCATCAAAATTATGCCAATGAGTTCCATGGAGAGGGGGTATTCAATTTTAAAAGTTGGGGAAAACATGAGTCCGCATCCGCACAGTCCCTGAGTTGATGTTTTGGCATCAGGGGAGAAAACGTTGGATTGGTGAAGTCTCATTTTTAGCTTCAGCTGAACTTTATAACGAACCACAGGAGTGAAAATCCACAGGACAAGGACTGTGGATTTTATCCCCCATCTGTTACATTGGAATCACATTAGGGAGGGTGTCATTACACAGCCTGTATGGACAGGAAGAATGATCACAGTGACCGAATGCTCTTTCATATGAGTGCTGTTTTAAGATACAGTAGATTTGAAAAAAGTGAACACATTCTTTCATTCGGGCAGTATGCCTGCTAGGATGTTCAATTTCATTCTAGCTAAAGATACATAGTTTTTGGTTAAAAGAGATCATATAAAAAATCAACATTTATAAACAGCTCCTCCAAGCCTGCAGGGGGCCCATCTGACAACAAAACTGGATCTGAGCTGTGCGGGGGTTGACCATAACTTCACTCGCTCCCTGTTGGACTCCTTCTCTTTTCTCCTGCTGTGTGATTAGTTGTGACTGGTCTGCAGGCCCACCACAGCCTGCTTAGTCCTGACTCCCCAACACTAGCGGAGCCATACCCAGCCCAGACACGTGAGCCAGTCACACCACAGCAGAAAAGAGAAGATGACAAGGAGCGAGGTTGGCGGGAGACAAAGAAGAGCAAAAAAAAGAAGAAGGAGGAGACTAGATTATCAGAGGAGGAGAGAGCTAGAGGAGAGGCAATTTGGCAAAAAGGGATAGGAAGTAGTTAGATAAGGTTGTGATTTGTTGAGAGGACATACGGATTATAAGTGTGGTGAGGAGGAGAGAGGAGATAAGGATAGTGGTGCTGGAGGAAATGGCCCATCTTATAAGAGCAGGACGGAGTGGAGAAGGAGGAAACCACAGACACTACAGAGCAGCAGTGAGAGTGGAAGAAAGGGTGGAGGAGAGGAAAGCCGGAGGCAGACGGGCTGGCAGAGGAGCGCTCCCGTGCTCACGTGGCGCGATGGAACCAAATCCGACAGCCGTCCGCACTTATTACCACAAACGGAACAATAGCGAATTAGGTGCATTACCGTGGCTGCTCTCCCCTGAGCCCGTGTCACATTGAGCTAGAGGAATTACCATCACTTCAAATGTAAACTACTGTATATATCACAGATTAACTGAAAGTCAGACAGAAATAAACTGTTTTCCTCCAGCAAATGCTGTGTTTTCACCTCATAGCCTTTGGATCAAAGAGTGTCAGTTTAGAGGCATTTCATTTTGCTCCCTTCATAACAGAGCTTGCAGATCGCCCCCCCACACACAACATGTTGGTTTAGAGCCAGATTAACTGTTTTGGGGCAGTTTGTTTAATTACACTAACACTTATTAATCTCTTTGTTGTATTCTTAATTGTTACTTTTTTTTTCAATCTACAGTTGCAGCAAGCTGTTATGTAATGATGCAACGTGCTAACATGGAGCCAGCTCAGAAACCTATGCTACGCTTAGTCAACATATTGGACAAGACGGGATATACACACTCATAAGTGGGCCGGACAAGAAGGTGAGGCGTGTCTTCACTGAACTTGATATGAGATGACAACACAGTGTGGACAGACGGGCTCAAGCTCCACACGAAACGCGGCACGCATTCAGCTCCACGTGCTAACACAGATGTTAGGGCTCCTGTGTACGAGCGCACAGACAGACAGACAGACACACGCAGACAGTACAAACACAAACAGCATGAAGCAGTGGAAGCGTGAAGTCATGGGAAGGTGAACTTACGATGGCTTGCATGTTCAATAGAAATCTTTGTATCTGTTTGAACAGGAGAAAAAACAAGAGAAGGAGAAAGGAAAAAAACAAAACAACATAAAAATGGATGGACTAGTCGTTATGCAAATGAGAGATGCAATAACATAATACAAAGCAGAAACAGTAAAGTAAACAATAGCTCATCAATATGAAAATAGAAATGTAAACATAAAAGGCATACTGCAAGCAAGAAAACATACTTCACATCTAAAAATAATAACCTCTTCAAGGTAGGTGTGAGAATGTGCAGAATTGTGGAATGAAGTTCAGCGTAATTGTTTCCATAATGTACAAGAAAAACGGAGAACAAAAGCCTATCAGAAATGACTGTGAAAGAGATTAGGATTGTCAGTGATAAAGTTGAAGACAGTCTTGAAATGAACAAAGACACTGGTGCTGTGTGGCACAGGAAGGAGACAATGTAGCTTAAAAACTGCCTTTTTATATACACCCCACAGGGTATGTTATCTGCTTCATCCTATGAAACAAACATCTCTGTCCTGACGGGAACAATCTTTTCCGAGATAACACCAATGTGAATCATCCCTGTGTGGCTTGATGAGCGTTGAAAACCATCTGTCAGGATCGCGTCACTTACTATGTCTCAAACCAAATAACCTTCTCTCCCAAGCATCATCAAAACACCAAATGGATTCCCCGACATTCATTCATCCAAAAGCAATTAGAATCTAGGAGGCAGCGAAGAGGATGGTTTGTGGCGTCTCAAAGCATTTTACATTTATGTCTGATTTAGCCAATTAAATGGATCAACAATGAGTGAGACTTTTCAGTGCTTCAACTCTTTGATTGTCTGAAGCATGTTGGGAACACAAAGAGTCATAATGTCATCAGGACAATTTGCAGAAAAATCACATTAAAGTGCTGGAAAAATAAATAACTCAGTCTGTGACACACACACTTTCTACAGCACAGTGCTTCCCATCTTCCCCCTCTGTCAGAGCCACTTGAGTGCACGTTTTCCTGACAGACCCCTGAGAACGCTGTGCTCTGTACAGCCAAATCAGACAGTGTATTTGTCTAATCTGGTTGCTCCATGAAAGCCTGTTTATGTCAGGACTTGCGTGTATGACTGATATAGTTGAACCACAGCCTGAGCGTGAATATGATCCTCCCCATTGCACGTGCATTTGATGAGGTTTGTCTGTATGCTTGGCGCGTGTTCATTTGTGTCTTTTGTGTGTGTGTTTTTAAGTGTGTGTATTTTTTAAGTGTGTACTTGAATGTATTTCGCTGCCTCTGCGGATGTGCGTCTCTAAGATTCTAATGCGCTGTCAGCTGGATTCCTCTCAGCTCATCATGGGCTGCACATTGGGTGTCAGTGTGAGTCTGACTCACTCTCATATGCTCTTCCCTGTGCTAATTTTTCGACTTGGCCGTGTCATGCTCGCTTCCCACTCCATATACTCCCTTAGCCAGCACTGTGCTCTCTCTCTTTCTCTCTATCTCTCTCTCTCCATCTGTGCTCTTTAGATGTGGATCACTTGCCTTCTCTTTTTGCGCACCTAAATTCTGCCTCATGAAACATCTGTCTGCGATTGAGCTGTTTTTGCTTTCATCTCTCTCTACATCATTCATGCTTTTACCCTGCTGCAGTGGCTAAACACTGGTTATACAGTCCAATGCAAAGTAGCTTTGAAATGCAATACACCTTATAAAACTGTGATCTACGAGCAAATAAATCACTGCCTGCTAGACTTGCTATTATCAATTTAACAACCACCTGAAGCAGCAAATATCCTGACTGACCTCTATAGATACCTTAGAAAATCCCTATTCTTTCCGATATTAGACAGTTGAACTATGTGCACTAGTGAACTAGATTCAACAGATGCTGACCCGTATTAAAGGGTCAACTGTATGTGTCTTTATTATGCAATCAAAAATAGTTTAGAAAGCAAACAATCCACACTCACAAATGTGTGATAAAAGAACCCTAAAATTTTGTTTGCGAATACAGAACTTTGGCAAATCCACAATGTTGAAATGGTGAAATCTTGTGGTTGTGGCATATGAAATAGTATCAACAATCACCTCATGGATTTAAAATGGTCATAATGAGGAAGGTTTTTTTTTTTTTTTTTTTTTATCATTTTAGGACTTAGGTGACTTCATGTATTCAACAAGATTTATTTTATAATAAGTAATAAAATGTAATTTTTATTTGGCATATCTATCTACTGGTGAACAACAAGTCCGGTACCATAACTGCATGAATTCTGCAATTCACATCAAAATCCAAACGGCGGCTGGCTTGACAGCAGTCAAAAAGTAATCTAAATGCACCAGTTCAAACACAGCATTCTTGATATTACTAAGACGGCATTGATTTTCTTTGCTCCCGCTCTGTCTTCTCCACAGACTTTAAAACTCTCTCTCGTGCTTTCTAACAGTGGAAATTGCCAAGCTGTCACTCCAATCGAGACTGGCCCACCCACGAGATTTGAGCTCAACATTTTAAAAAGTTACTCCGCACAACTGAAGAATTACATCATATCAAGAAATGTATATAAGCCAAATATTAACTTCCTTTTGACATTTACCACCCCAGTTCAAACATAGTGCCCAGGTGACTTACTGCGCGCACACAGCCCCTCAGTGCAGTTTTTGCTCTCCATCATGCTGCCGCTGCAGTGCTTTCCTCCGTTCCTGGGTGGGGGGGCTTGACACTCGCGACTGCGCCAGTGTGTGCACTCTGTCCCACACGCGGACCACTTTGCCCACTCTGTCCAGCCTCCATCCACTGGAATGGAACAGCAGAGATGTGCTGTCATTTTACAGCTAAACGGCCAGGTACAGGGGAATTGGACATGTTATAATGGGACATGATACATATGGCTTGAAGTGCATCATTTTGCAATTTGCAAAATGCATGTTGTGGTTTGTCTTCAATTATTTTGGGGTTAGGGTGGTCTGACACACAGGGCAAAGCAATAAGTGGCAGAATGGTGTGTGACAGAGAATCAGATAACTCTATGTTCCTGATGTAGATGGCTATTCTGTCTTGATTGGATGAAGTTGTTTTTGAGCTGAAAACATTTGAAATGGTTGTATCTGAAGTAAAACTTCACGTGGAGGAACACAGCTGAAAACCAGCATCTGAAAAGTTTTAAAATTCATCCTGGTACATCCTGCAAAATATCCCATTTGGGAAATATCCTGATATATTCCAGTGTTGTGACTGTCGCCTGAAGATATTAAATAATACAAATGAGTATGTCGTCTTTACCTGGGCACAATGTGGTGCAGGTCACTCTCTGGAAGGGTGGGCCCTCACAGAAGGCTCCTCCATTCAGAGGGGCAGGATTGGTGCAGCTGCGTGTTCGGCGCTGCCAGCCCCGTCCGCACTGAGCATTGCACTCTGACCATTCGGTCCAAGAAGACCAACCTCCGCTCACTGACAAGACAGGCACATGGGCAAAGTGAGCAATTACTACGCTGATCAACTTTAACAGTAATTAGAATATAGACAACCAAAACATCCATGCAGCCCTGCTACTCCTCCTAGCATACACATTGATGAGTGGTAGTAAGCTTAAAGTTTAATCCAATGTAGAAACTGACCTTTTAATGATAGCGTAGTGTTTTTGATAAATTTTAAAATTAAATTTAAGCTTACTGAATATACGTATGTGATGCAATGTGTGTGAAGTGAAGCAAAGGAAAAATGTGTATGTGTGTTACCATAAACAATGAGAGTAGCTGTGCTGCTGCGTCTTTTGGCCACCACATTACGAGCTACACAGGTGTAGTTAGCGGTGTCTGAGAGTCTGGCCTGTTTGATGATCAGATCATGATCAATGGTGATCAGGAAGTTCGAGTCCTGCGATGGATCTATGACATCCTCATTCTTCAGCCAGTCCACCTGTAGTGAGGCAGGCACACACACGCACACACACGCACACACACACACACACACACACACACACACACACACAAATACACACCACTCAGAACTTTGTTGTACTGAAAGAAACCTTTGCCGTGATCACACCGCAATGAAATTAATTAAAAAGGAAAAAGTAACCATAGAACTTAATTCTTCTGGCAAATAACTCTTCACATAAATCATTGTACAAATCAGTGGGTGTGTATGCATAAACATGAGTCAGCACACCACACACAGACCCATTAGGTAAACAGAGTAAAGCTGCAGAGTATAAAGCTATCATGACATGCTTCGACGCTACATGTGGTATTGACTGTCAATATTTGATCTTTTTAGTTTGCTCAGGAAAATTATCATTTGTGGCTTCTGTTGGCCAAACCTTTATTTTCGACAACCACAAGCAATGCAGTTAAAATTTATCATTAAATCATTCTGAAATTCCTCTCTTGTAATCACATAACATGAGCTTTCACACTTTGAAGCTATGTGCTTTTCATGTCACGTAATAACATGTTATTTAGCCACTAAAAAGAACAATACAGCTTGTCAAAACATAAATATTTACTTGAGTAATAAAAATCTACATTTATGACTAATTTGTTTTCTTTTTTTAATATATTGTTGTCCTGCCATTTTATGGGAGAAATAAAAATGTTTGATATAGTGCTGTACAGTTAAAGCGGTGTTAAAGTATTAAAACATGACACAAAGTGGATTTAAACACTGCCCTTTTTGCTTTGTTGCTTAAATAACATATTACTGATCGTTATATGTTTTAGGGAGTTTTTTCTTGATGGTGCCACGTAACTGGATAGACTTAAATCTCTCAGACATCAGTGGCTCGCCCTTTTCTATGCACCCTTGTGTATTATGTTCATGGTGTTCTATAACTGATTACTTAGATCTTGGCTTTGCTATCTCGGCTTGAGATATAGAGTTATAAAAACATAAATGATCTTGAACTATTACCCTTCAGAAACAGAAACACAAATATAACTCTAAAGTGATGAGGAGGGAGAGATCTACCTCAGCAGCGGGCATGCCCTCCGGGGGGCGACACTGCAGCAGCACCTCCTGCTCAAGGCGCACCTCCCGCCCCAGTGGCTCCTGCTCAAAGTTCTTCCTCAGGTCTACAGGGGGCGACACAGATGAAGTCAGTCAGCAGTTACTGAAGGATTGCTCGCGACAGCAGCGACACCCTGTTTATCTTAGTGACACTGGCTGTCACACACACACAAACACACATACACGCGCACCAGGCAAAGCCCCCAAAAGCCTCTGTCACTGTGTCATGTTTTTTCACTTTATACCCCCATAAACATGCAGTGTCAATCACACTACGCCACACATTACCACGTGGGACTAAGATGGAGTGCTACAGCAAATTTATTTGCATATATACTTAAACTGACACTTTTGACAAGCAAAAAGTCAGAAACAGTTGCCCTTCTTCTGTCTCTCTTCCTTCCTTTCTCTCTCATTCTGTCTCTCGCTCTCACACAAAGTTGGTACTGACATGCAATGCGAACATAGGCACGGTTGCTCTTGGTGGTGCCCGCCGAGCTCCAGGCCACACACTGGCACCAGTAGTCCTCCAACCCAAACAGCTCCTCCACCTGGGTCCTTGACACCGAGATGTCCACCTCCCGCACCACCAGCCCTGTGCAGAGAGAGAGAGAGAAAGAGAGAGAGAGAGAGAGAGAGAGAGAGAGAGAGACAGAGAGAGACAGAGAGAGACAGAGAGAGACAGAGAGAGAGATTAGAGAGACATATTTTTCACAGTACATATAAATAATGCATTGGCTGCAGGCCAAATGCAGTTAACATGTTCATAAAATCCTGTGGGAGCTAATGGATTATGTAGTTGAAAATGATGTTTGTAATTGAGTGTGATGTTTATGTCCGTGAAATACAAGGTGACATTACTGTGTGTATGTGTGTGTGTGTGTTTGTGTAGTTTACAGGCACCTCTGCGTGTGTGTATGTAAGTATTACCTGTGATCTGGTCCAGGCTCTCTCTGGTGACATGATCGTTTTGATTGACCCATTCTCCGTTACATTTAAAGTAGATCTGGGTGGCCGGTGATGCCCGGCACCGTAGCTGGACCGGCCTGTTCTTTACGATGAAAGCATCCTCCGGTTCCAGCAGGAAGTCTGGGAGAGGTTCTGCCGGTGCTGACGGGAAGGAGTCAGGGAGAACCTCGGCCTCGCTGTAGTCGCTGCTCTCTGAAAAGACAGAATTGATCACTCGAATTAAAGTGTCTGCCTGCTGAAAGCATACTCAAGCAGTGCAGAGGGTCTCCATCAGTATTTGGATGGCTGCTCTGTGGCTGATACTGCATTCTGACCTCACTGTTGAGGAGGTAAGAAATAAGCAAAAGGACAAATTTATCCCTCTGGGATCAATAAGCTATATACCTGGAGGGAGTGTGTGTGACAGCTTGTCTTGTATGTCTCGATCCAGCTTTAGGGCATGTGTGAACGAGTCTGTCAGCAGTGTTTCACAACATACTTTAAGGCAAACCTGTTAGTGTATTTCAAGAAGACATTTAAGGTGCTGACAGTTTGCACTGTAAATTGAGGGGCGCAGTGACATTTTTGTCTCCTTGTACTGCCAGTAATCTGGTCAATGCAGGCGTCCTGCTCTTGTCTCTCTGGGAGAGTCCATGCCTCTCAGCTGGAGAGGAGAGCTGCTGACCTTCCACGGACAGGTCCTGTTGATCGCACATTATCCCCTGACATTTTCGATGTGACACATCCCTCTTGGCAATGCTGCCAAGAGCTTCTCCTGGCAGGAAGGACGCTGTATTTGTGACCTCTTCACTCTGACTTGTTACTCTTATAATGATGAGTAGATCCCAGGCAGTTTATAAATGCAGCAATATTATTGGCCACTATATTACTAGTTTTCACAGCAGTAGATATATGAAGGTATATGTACAGTAATGTGCTATTTACTACACTTTTTTTTTTTTTTTTTATGGTCAGCCTGTTTGCTGTACTGATTGTAAAATTTGTGATTTTGGTCCATAAAAATAATAAATAACACTTAAAAGACTTGACAGTTTCAAGAGTATTGTAATTATCTATAATAATATAATGACAAAAATTGTCAAACATCACATCACATTATGCTCCAGCTGTTAGTGCTGACATTGGACTCAAATATTCCGTGTCAGTCAGACATATCTGTTTACCAAACTGCAGGGAATGACTATGATGCAAGAGAAAAACCCTTGCCACAACTCTTGTGCCCATCAACTGGAATGTATCCTTGTGTGCTTGAGCAAAATACTGAAGCACAGACAGACTGGAGAGGACCTTGTGACACAACAACTTGCAAACAACAGGACTGAAGTAGCCTCTGCTATGAAGAATAACCTGAAGACAGTATTGCTATAATGTTCTGGCAGAAACCTGACAAATATAGCACACATATATCTGACAAACGTATGCATAGAGCACACATACACATATAGCAAATACACAACACAACAAATACACAATACTCAAATATACTTTGTTAAGGTATGTTTCAAAAGCCACCATAAGAAGTCGCCAGAAATGTTCTCTCTCTTTTTATTATATTGATATTACTATCCAACTCTTATCATCACTTTCTGACGTAATCCAGGTTTTTATAAATTGTTAATGTGTCTGACCGTCCAATAGAGAACTTTGTTCTGCTTACGAAAATGATCTAAATTCAATAAGCATTAAACGGAAGACTGGAGAGGAGTGCAGGGGATTGTCGGCTCCAGTCAGGAGATGCCAAAAAGGTATGGGCATATTCAGCCCGGTACACTTTCCTCCCTTTATGCACACACACACACACACACACACACACACACACACACACACACACACAAGCATAGCTCATGGGTTATTGTGCTTTTCTTACACAGCAGTCTCAAAGCACTGAAGTTTTAAAATCTCATTCTCTACATTCAGTGGATAAAACAAGAGGCATGAGGGCAATGGGACTTAAACCAGACAAATTTGCAGCGTTCAGTTTTCAAAATGTATCGAGCCCAAACTGATCAGTTATTCTACAACCAGGGAACAAGAGAATCTACTTAGAAAGATACCATCTCCTATTTTAGGAAAGTGAGCACTTCACCACCCCCACCCAACTGTTCCCCTTGACAGATTGTCTGAGACATTAGGGGAAAGCAAAGAGGAACAGAGCATGAAGGCAGTTGGAGAGAAAGTTGCAGCATGATTCAAACCAAGGCCAGCAGGGATTCACTGGATTCAAGAGGCTGTACCATCTTCAGGTATAGAGACCGAACCATCTCTTGACCCAAATCGTTTCCGCCATAAAAAGGCTGGCTAGGACAAAAGAGGCAGAAGCAGTGCTGCCCACAGCTCAGAGCCTGGCAGTGCTGTGGCCACAGGACAGGCACAGAGGGCAATAGCTGCCCCCGGCCCAACGACCATCCAGGATGGACCTGTCATCCTTAATCTGTCTCTGCCTCTCTTCACAGTGTCTGTACCGCAAAAACACATCCTTGCTCTTCCATGTGACTTTTTCTATAAAGACCTTCCGCCGCCTACATTTAATTCACTAACCCATGACCCCAAACTGAACCCTCACCGTTGCACGCTCACATATACAGTTTTTTTCAATTGCTAACCTGCATTGTTCAAAACCGAAGTCCCATTGTCAGAACTCTTTGAAACACAGTCAGCGAAACAGAAGTGTATGTGGACCAAACTGAGAATCATTTTTCATTGCTTTCACACAAAATGCATTCAATGACCACTTTCTCCAAAATCCGTGAACTCTTTTCCCATTACTACTTCACCACCTGCAAAACACTGTGTCCAAAACTGTTAAAAACACATTCAAAACAAAATGTTTGCAAATTTCCTGCTTGCTATAGCTGGACAGATATATATAGAAAATCTTTGCAGAACATTTACATCCATTTTATGTTTTAGAGAAATATGTGTAATGTTTTGAATGTGGTTTTACTATAAAACTGCAAGCTGAGTGTTAAACTAGAAATGTGCTTATATTTTAGCAGAATTGGTTCAAGGGGATGTTACATCAATTACAGACTGTGTTCATTGGGTCTCAGGTACCAGTGTTAACTATGTAAACAACTGAAAAAAAGTTTATTGTAGCACTGAAATGTCAGGAACTTCTTTTTTTTCACAAGTAAATTACTGAGTGCATTTCTGATTCATTCTTGTAACATATACTATAGTACAGTCAATAAAGTCAAAATATGATACAGGTTTCTTCCATTTTTTCTCAGTTGCTTTGGTACATTTGCAAAATGGCTAAACTTTTGATGACAATGATAGGCTGTACTTTTTCTGTATGGCATAGATCAATTTCAACAGTACAGAGTTATAATAAACCTTGCAAAAGATTGGACAGGATTCACAGTTACACTTTTACTGTATGCACTGTAATTTGTTTTGTATTGTGATGCAGAAAATAAAAAAACAAGACTATTTTACAGCACTGCATAGCACAACGGAAACAATTACAAAATAAGAAATGGAAACATGAAAAAAAAACCTTTAGGTTGATGTTCCTGTCTATTGGGCCACAGATTCTTATTCACAGCACAATAGATCAGAACTTCATCAATTTACTGTAGGACACATTTACAAAACAAGCCTAATAGACATATGTAGGAAAATGCAGATTATGACGTGTTCAACCATTTTGCATGTAGTGACTTACGCAATGAACTTATGTCTAGATGTTTTGGGGGTAAGACTTCTCAACAAAGAACCATTATACTGTAATACATTGTGATCAACATGACATACAGTAAGCAATTGATAATGTAGGAAACAGCAGACAAATGTACATAATAATTTGCATAAATGTGTAAAAGCATGTGCAATTTGCAGTTTCTCAAAAGACTGAGAAATTGCTTACATATGGTGTGCACAATGATGTGGAGGCTGAACAAATAGAATTTAAATTCTGATCTGAGAAATGTATCAAAGTGACTGAAAACAACTGTATTCTATAATGAAACACTGATTTATATGAAAATATCAGTCACATTTCAAGGATAAAAGTTCAATAAATGTACATAATGCTTCCGGTTGTTAGTGTTTTGTAGGTCAGTGTGTTATGAGTGACAATGTACACTTTCTGAGTGCGTATTGTTGGCAGTGTTTAGGCTGGCTGTTTGGTCGTTTCAGTTTTGACCACTACATCTTGGCAATTGAAAAAAACTGTAATATAAAAATATAAAAATAATGATTACTTTTTTGGAAAATAGAAATATTTTTTTCTTGCACTGAAAACAAACTTTACGTAATAAATGGTTTAGTACATTTAGACACAGTAACAAAGCAAACTGCACAAAAGCAACACTTGTCAAACACCAATCAAAATGACTAAATGATTAAATAATGCTTTCATGTTCTGACTCAGTTTAACTATTTTCATTGATCGAATCTGCTCTTTTTTTTTCAGACCTGCTGGCTCCTCCATCTCAACTGGCATTTTGGTTACACTTCTAAATTGCATTGTGATTTCTGTAATTAATTGTGTGGCCTTACTAAACTTAAATCTACAGTAGTTGTAACAACAGCCCAGTTTCTGTGAAGTGTAAAAGTCCACCTCTCCCATATTTGTGAGTTTTGATCTACAGAAGAGAGGCAGAACTTTTACAAAAGTTGAAAATCTCTGAGAGTTTTTATCATCTGCTTAGCAAAAAGAAATGAAGTTGGTTACCATATTCGAAGAAATTCCCCCAGAATGTGTGGATGGACAGAAACACTCTGGATAGACCTCTGTGGCCGCATAAAAACTTACAACTAAATCTTACGTCAGTGAATCATCCAAATTCTAATACTAGACCAGGACATTTTAAACATGCCGATGAACTAAAAATGACCATGCTACGGCGCGCTAAATGCTCTCACTGACAAGTACAATTATAGTAGTACAGAAGAACAATAACAAACACATAAACCAGCACACGTATTCACGCACACATACTCACACAAGGCACACTTGTTTGTGCTACCAGAGGTTACACCCTGGCAGGGATCCACACTTGATGTCACTCAATTAAGTATGTGCGATACGGCAAGTGGGTACACATACAGGTAAACACACATAAATATGTTTAATGAAAGCTAACACATCTCAAAGTGATGCTTAACCATAAACAGGAATCACATTCATCGCTGTGCCACTCTCACAATCCTCTCCTCCCTGTCTGTTTTCTCTCCGCAACTCGTGG